AACGTCCAAGATCGTTAAATCCAAGCAAAGCTATACATGTAGCAATGGCCATCGGCCCTATCACTGTTCATTTTAGTACTTGGCATGTGCACTTGATGCTTGACGTGGCTTGTGAATTTGTGTGTGCATAAAGGATGCGCTGAAACAATTAGTGTGAACATCCTTAAGCTTATGTGTAAACTGCTATTTTGGAAATTAATTTCTTTGAAATGCTTTTACTTGTAATGTACATATTTGTATCAGTCAATTTGAAACCACCAGATCCCTTCCCTATGCCCACAGGGGAGGGGTTACTCCCAGAAAAATTGGGTGGGGACACTTCCGAAAACCCTTACCCTATTTAAGAGCAAAATCATTTTTTTTTTTTTCACTACAATTTTTCCTACCCTATTAATGCTCGGACCAAAAATTTGATGCCCTATATAAGTACTGACCCCAATACTCCAGCTGTTTCAGACCTGGCAACATTTAAGATTGTTTTGTACATGCAACGTAAAGCTTGCAAGCGATGTTACCATTTCAGCCAATTTTTGTTATCAAGATAGGTTAAATTAAAGCAAGAAATTTCGCCAGCTACCGTATTTATTGTACTAGTTTTCTCTAAGATTTTTCTCGATGCTGATTCATTATCGGATATTTTGTTGCTTGCCTTGCCTGTAGCCGCCAACCACCAAATGTATGATATCTTATCCAAAATTAACATCTGCTTAAAATGCTCGTTTGCAGCCTGATATGTATTTTTGTTTGCAGTAACTAATCTCAGGGACCTAACGACAATTTTACAGGAAATTAGACCTACAGGCAAACATTTCTGGATAAATATTGGAGATAATGATCATGGTATGAAAGGTCAAAAAGTCAGGCAATTAGCTTATAACAAATGCATAGTCTTTAAGATGCTTTCAATATTTGTTTTTTATAATAATATTTCATTTTTTGTTTTGCCCAAGCTAGATTTGCAATAAACCATGTACTACGAAATTGGTCCACTAAATTTTGACATGACACAACATTGTCAAAGCATATAATTTTGAAAATTTTATGAAAATTCAGGTTTAAATCACATACAAATCTGACAGTGCTGAATAACTGCTAAACGATGATATTTTAGTACTGTGGGTTAGCTTTTCCAGCCACACTTATTATTTTGGCTTGCTAGGTGGGTTTTGCTTTTTCCAGGGCAAAATATGTACATGTAAGGCTGTCTCAACAAGAAAATAGTATTCAAACAACCTAAAAGTTACAGTTTTGAAACAAGTTACTGAAAGTCTCCTTCCTGACAAAGTTTGAGAAAATCAGTTTTTTTTCTAACCTGCATAAGGTATAGGTGATTGTTACAGCAAGCTGCTCTTAATATCTGGTTGCAAACACCCAATTTTGGATCTCATTGGTGACCAGAGAATCGCTATTTTGAGCCTTGAAATCACTAAAATAAGCAGATATTTAGTAATTAGTACATTAAAACAGTGATGCATGTAAATAAAAATCACCACAAGCTAAAACTATTTGACTTTTTTTCTATGTAAATCCATCCTCTTTGAACAATGTTAAAGGATATGTAGATTTGAAAGATTTCCATGAAACTTAAGGGGACATTGTAATGAATTGTGCATGTGGTAAGTTTGGTTTACAACTTAGAAGTTTAATGTCGGCGTTCTGTTCGTTTAGGTGGTCGTGAAAATCGTCAATTTCGTCTTTGTGAACAAGAAAGACTTACATAATGTTCTAACGCATAACAGTTCTATTACATTACATTTAACAATAGTAAGCTAGTGACTGTATGTAAATAGCGTCACGCCCAATTAACTGCGCTTTAACAATTGACTTTAAAGCTTTATTAAAATGCACCACTTTTTTTTCCTTTTTAACTTGGAAAATATTTTCCAAGTTGTAGTGGTGGAACGATTTCACTCCATCACTCCTTCACTTCCCGTTAGACATTTGGAAACTCGGGAGGAACTCCCATATGAAAAGGCAGGGGATGCTCGTTGCAAAATTTGAATTTAGCTCCTAAAGGAGATTAATGTGGACATTGCTTGAGCTTCATTAGACCCCTAAGAGATACCACTTAAAACGGAATAGGTTCAGTCACTAGCCACTGTTCAAGAAAGGATCCCGCCTGCATTTGTAGACCCGACTCGCGTACTCAAGAGATCAGCAGAAATCAAGCTTGAAACCAGAAATTAAATGAGAGCGTTTCTTTTATTATTATTTCCTCGAGTGTACCTTAAAGGATAGTTTGACAGCTAAAATGGTGACGTTTCGTCATCAACTTCCTAAGTGAGACCAGAATTCTTGATTTGTACCTGAGACAACGAGCATGCCCTCTGATCTTTTCATATAGGAATCCCCCCTCCCCCCCTTGGCTTTCGAACATCAACCATCTGAGGCCGTTTTACAGTTGCTTGCAGCATGTCAAATTAATTATTTTTGAGAGGTAGAAGGTATAACTATTTTTTTTTATTGTGAGGAAAATACTTATGGTTCTTCCTTAGTGATTCGATTTAGGGAAAGTCTTTGTGGTTTTTCCTTCTCAAACCTATGTGATATTGTGAGTTCGAAAGCATTGGATATGAAAAAAATGATTAAAAGCTCCAGACGATTTTTTAAACAAAAGAAACAGAAAGACAAACGCTACCTATTGGTAAATGGTTTCTTAACAGAAAAAGAAAAAACAATGAAGAAGAAAGGAAAAATAATTAGTAGTTACCACTGGGATACGAACTCCCAATGTCTTGCATGGCGAGCTAGTGCTTATCACACTGCACTACTTGTACATCAGTTACCGGAGGGCGAAAGTATTAATCTTTTATCTACGTACTGCAGGCTAGAGTGTTTCGCTCAGTCTATACCTCACTTTTGACCAAACAAAATAATCTTGCCGTTTCTGGCTACAGCACAAGGAAGACATGTGCAGATACATGTAATGTAAAACATGTAGGCAGGCCTGAGTAACAGACAGTTTCTTAACATTGAACTTTTTCATTTTGAAATATCACAACACACCCCTGTATGGAAAAAAGCTTTATGGGCTTGTTTGAAAGCTAGACTGTCCTCACATCAAAAGTTGTTCCTTAATGAGCAATGCCTCATAACACCTTTTCATGATTTATTGTCCAAGTTCAGTGGCTCACAGCAACTTTGTTTAATTAATGCACTATTACTGTATTATAGGATCCAAAATAGTCAGGGAAATTTTCGTTTTTCAAAATCAGGGAAAGTTCAAGGAATAAATGGAGAAAATGGGAAGGTTCCCTTCTGTATTGTACCTTTGAAAAACTAGACCAAACTACTGAACTAACTCCATTCAAATTAAAACCTATAGTACAACACACTTTCATTGAGTGACCACCAAACTAACTAAGAACAGACACTACTCAACTTATACCTAAAACTACTCGCCCCTACAGTAGTCGCTATCATCATGGTATTTCTTGACCTCAACAGAACTCACATGATGTTCTTCAACCAGCCTCAACACAAACTTCACCAAAAGTAAACCAGTTGAATCAGACCATAACTGATCAGTCGCTGATTACTACCTTTTCATAATGGCTTCACAGGTTCTCAAGGCATCAGTGCTTTTACACATACACTAGACAAACTACTTAATGATACTTGTCCACTTTTTTTCTTTGTGGCTGGCAACTTGACAGTTGTTCCTTTGGGCACCTCAGAATGGGACATACTGTAATGACTTCCTCAATGCCCACCATCCCTNTCTATACCTCACTTTTGACCAAACAAAATAATCTTGCCGTTTCTGGCTACAGCACAAGGAAGACATGTGCAGATACATGTAATGTAAAACATGTAGGCAGGCCTGAGTAACAAACAGTTTCTTAACGTAGAACTTTTTCGTTTTGAAATATCACAACACATCCCTGTATGGAAAAAAGCTTTATGGGCTTGTTTGAAAGCTATACTGCCCTCACATCACAAGTTGTTCCTTAATGAGCAATGCCTCATAACACCTTTTCATAATTTATTGTCCACGTTCAGTGGCTTACAGCAACTTTGTTTAATTAATGCACTATTACTGTATTATAGGATCCAAAATAGTTGGGGAAATTTTTGTTTTTCAAAATCAGGGAAAGTTCAGGGAATAAATGGAGAAAATGGGAAGGTTCCCTTTTGTACCGTACCTTTGAAAAAAAAAACTAGACCAAACTACTGAACTAACTCCATGCAAATTAAAAGGTACAGTACAACACACTTTCAATAAGTGACCACCAAACTAACTAAGAACAGGCATTGCTCTTATACGAAAAACTACACACCCCTACAGTAGTCGCTACGGTATTTCTTGACCTCAACAGAACTCACATGACGTTCTTTAACCAGCCTCAACACAAACTTCACCTGAAGTAAACCAGTTGAATCAGACCATAACTGATCAGTCACTGATTACTACCTATTCATAATGGCTTGACAGGTTCTCAAAGCATCATTGCTTTTACATGTACACTAGACAAACTACTTAATGATACTTGTCCACTTTTTTTCTTTGTGGTTGGCAACTTGACAGTTCTTCCTTTGGGTACCTCAGAATGGGACATACTGTAATGACTTCCTCAATGCCCACCATCCCTCCTCCCCCCTTATTCTCCAACCATGATTCACTATTTCCCAGGGTTCCCCAGGTTAAGGATTAGTTTTGAGTTGATCATTGCATTCCTTGATGTAAACCAAGTTCTGCTTTTAATTTTGAAATACCACAGACATGTAAAGAATTTAAAATGCTTTCATTGGCTCAGTAAGTAAATTACATGTAGTTTTAAACTGGATAACATTTCGTTTGGTCATATTTTATGTTTTTGCTGTATTTCTTCCTTGAAACCCTTGTTGGACTTCCTGATTTTTGCCCATACATGTATTTAAGAAGGGGAAGCAGGCTTACATGTGATAGTAATATCAAATATCAAAACTGCAATTTGTAGGTTGAAAAGGAGATTTGGAAAGACTTTGTTGTTAGCATGGAGACTCGATACAATCAACCAATTCAAAGTTCTGGGATTGTACAAAACTATCAGATGATCTGTTTAAATTTATCGTTAACACCACCAGAAAATTCTGTCTTTTTTGACCTCAACTGGAAGGGCTTAGAAATTTATGGCTGAAAGAGTGCTGAGCTGCTGTTTCACAGCTACTCTGTAATATGATCACCCACCATATGGATCAAAACAGGAAAAAGAAAGAGGTTGGGAAATTCTGACTAAAATTCATCAATTTTGAAAGATCCCCTCCCCCCTTCATTCTCCCCTTTCAAAAACGTCAAGCAAACTGCAATTTTTCATTGTTGTTGAAAAATTGTACTGGGCCAGGGGTTGGGTTGGTGTCCTTATTCAGATGGGCCTGAGGATCAGTGGAAGAGATTGTTCTCTGATAATGTGAGAAATATGCTTACATGTACCCCTGATTGGTTTCACATTCTAGACAACACCCTGCCATTTAGATCATTAGAATCAAAAATAGATTGGCATAGGAGTAATTAGGGGGAGGGGAAAAGCATACTACAACATGGCAATCCTGCCAGTTCATAGATAAAGTACACCTGGGGGTATGTACATTGTATGCTTTCTTGCTTTCAGAAAAAACTACAAAACTTCAATTTCTTATAGTTGAAGGGTTGCAGATAAACTTTAAGGCAGGTTTTCAAGAACGAATTCCATGGATGGGTCAATAAATCTTTGACCCAGAGATGGTGAGACTATTTTTTGGGGGGTGGGGTGGGGTGGAGGGTATAATTCTGCTTTTATCCCTGATAGGGGTACTGAACAACAAGTACAGTGTAAAAGTAAATGGGCAGGTTGGACTCTAAAGAGAGAAGGGGCCAACTGAGGAAATACAGTAATTTTTCAGGGGAGTGAGAACAATTTTGAATGTAGATGACTTGTTCTACATGTGCATATATATTTCAAAATATTTCTGCAGTCCAATTGCAAAGAAAATTTTTTCAAAAAATTTCCTTTCTAGCTAGTGAAAAATGAAACTCAGCATCAGAAGTCAAGGGATTTTTTTCAACTTAAGAAATGACACTCCAAAAAGCTTACTTTTTTGTCTTCGCCTGTAGCAAGTAAACATTAGGTTTTTCCTTTCACCGAAGTTTCAACGTTTGAAGTGCCTCCTATCCTGAAGAAATTTATCTCAAAAGAAGCGACTTCATAGGCCACTATTTCAAAACTGTACTTGGCAGCCAGGCCATGTTTATGTGACGTCATTCCATTTGACTTGAAATT